GAATGCAGGGGGCCCAGGGGCCAACCATGTGCTTGGCAGCGAACCCAGAAGTGGACTGGAAGTACAGAAGTGGGTCTGCTGGGGAGCATGCAGGGCCCCCCCCCATTCCCTCCTGGTTCTGTGATCAGCCATGGGGGGAGCCTGGATGCCTTCCCCCCAGACCCAGGAGGCACCAGTTACCAAGCCAGGGGAGGGATGGGAGGGCGTGGGGGGCCCCCCCATGCACTCCCTGGTGGACCCGGAATTGGACTGGACGTGCTTCTGGTCCACTTCCAGGTCTGCTGCTAAGCATGCTGGGGATCCCCCGTGCTTCTATGGGACACTCCATGCGCCCCAGCATCACAGCCGCCTGCTACCTATACATATGTAGAAAAAACATTTAAAGCTGTCTCTATGTCTGAATCTCCAAATCTTTCCAAATCTCTCTGAATTAATTCAGAGAGTTCTGATTTGATTCAGAGAGATTAAAGGGTCCTCTGATTCAATTAGGAGATTTGGCCACTGAATCAGGCTGAGTATCTGCCAAATAGAATCAGGGGCCGAATATTTGCACAGCCCTAATGGCTAGAAAGACAACCAAATGGAAACAGGCTGTTCAAAAGTACAGACTTCTTATTTAGAAAAATCTGGTCTGCTTACAAAATCAGCCCATATTTATTATATTCTTCAGGTATTATTTGATTCTTATTTTATTAGACTTGTTTTCTTTCTGTTCGGGCTGTAGGTATCCATGAATGACGATAACCAGACTGGTGAAGGGTCTGAACAAATTGCTCTGCATTTCAGTCCTCAATTATAGAAGGTGATCTTATAAAAACAAGGAGTGAAGTCTTCAAGGGTCCTTGACTTTTGAAGGGAAATAATTTGTGCCAGATTGTTCTTTGTTAGGGTTGCAAAAAGCATCTGCAAAATTAGGCAGGGCAGAAGTTCATCTGAGTTCTTTACAGTGAGAAAGGAAGAAAAAGTTCTAAAAAACTGTGACAAAAATTACAAACCACTTGAGTGGCTTAGGAGACTAAATTGCATTGAAATTCAGTGGATTTAGAATAAGTCATTTAAATGCTTTTGAAAATGTTACCTTGTATGTTGAATTTATGAGTACCTGTTGATGACAGGAAAAAAACCTCCTTCCAAGGAGTTATGAGCAGCTGAGGTTTAATGACCAGTGGCATTCAGTGGGTTAATGGAATGAAATTAAAGTGGTTCCTTGACTAATTTGTCTGATAGTCTCACAGTGAAAATAACATCTTTGTAAAACTCAGACAGATCTGTGTCATGACCTCTGCTCTCTATGGTCTATAAAAGAGTGGGAAGATATCACAGCAATTTACACACGTGCAATATTTTTCACTCCCAGGAATCCTAAGGACGTTTACCAGCATAAAACACTGGAACATGAGAAGTGTTGGTAAAACAAAATAAAATATGATCCAGCCAATTTTGCAAGCAGTGGTAGGTGAAGAAATCATACCCAATGGGAATCAGAGGAAGTTTTGCTATTGATTTCCATGGGCTTAGGGTTTCATCAGTGAATTCAGTTACCTCTCATTTGTATGGTCATATTATTTATTGTTTGCTCATAACTGGACTGGTTCCAGGCATTTATGAATATGTTTGCCAAACTCCAGAGTTTCACAAATTATAGCACAAATAATTTAGCTGTATATTCATCCTGAAAATGAAGTTTTTCTTTTGTTGTTGTTCTCCACTTGTCTTTTGCCGTTCCACGGTTTAAGAAGTTTCAGGCATTCAGTCACGGAGTAGAAGAATTGCCATATGACTTAACAAACCAATAATACACCACAAGTAATTCACAGGAAATAGCTGGAATGAATAGTTTGCAAACAACTCAAAGGCTGGCATTTGACCATAATTTATTTGCTGTAGACTACTAGTAAATATTTAAAAATAAAGAGGCATTCTCAGGAAGCAAGACTGGTTCACAGACATTTTTGAGAACTGAAAAAGGGCTAAATGTTCAATAAGTAATATTTGCAAAGAATAATTGGAACAGTTCTGTTTATATAGACTATGTATACAGGGTGTGTGTAGATGAAACAGGGGCCCTAAATTGAAGCTGTGGGTTTTAAAAAATACTGCTTCAATTTAGGGATGATTAAACACCCGTGTCATGCACACACCCCGCTGACTTACCTGCCTCTCCGGTGGGGAGGACGAGCTGCTGGCAGGTGGAACGGTTCTTGGCACCCACCCGCACCCACCCACCTGCAGGTATCCGACTTGGGCAGTCCTAGGGGGCATTGCAGCCTGGAGGGAAGCACCACACAGCTCAGGCAGGTAGGGAGGCTCCAGTGGGGAGTGGGGGAAGATCAGGCTCACTGCTTTTCTTGGACAGAGCCTGCTTTCCCTGGCTGCTGCCAGGCTGCCTGCAGAGCTTCCTGCAGAGCCGTAGAGCTGCACGGAGCTTGGTGCTTCGCTCTGTGACTGTAGGGGCAGTTTTAGTTTGCTGCGCCTCAAGTCATTTAAGGCACATTACACTGCCAAAATTCCTACAGTGGCTGGAATTAATGTGTAATATGCTGCCAAGGCATGCAAACACCGACACCATTAAAGCAGTGCAAAAGCATTTAGCCCACTTTAAAGTGTTGCGCGCGCACACCTCTCGTTTTGTCTACACATGGCCACAGATGGCATCTTCCCAGGCTAGTCTCTTAAAGTAAAAATATAAAGTAAGTCTACACGAAAGTGTGGCATGTAGTCTTGGAAACAGCAGTAAACAGACAATATAGTTTAGAAGAACTGAAGAACGCTTTAGTGAATTGAAACTACAGGAGAAATCAAACAAACCAGGATATCAATATGTGAGCTTGAATTTGTTTATGATATTGGAGCTAACACCCTTGCTATTCAATACTAGTTTTCAAACAGGATACGGTACCTCAGATGAGTGGCTGGAACATCAAGTATTTCTTGTCTCCTGTAAAAGACTATCAGCACAGAATCTACTATGTTAGTTCATTCTTTCTATTTCACGTGGTGTCGAATATCAACTTCCAAATCTATGAGCCACTGTCTGATCTTATCGCTCAATGTGCGGATTCCATCTGCCCCGTCTGGGCGTTTGTAAAGATTGCAGCTTTTGATTAAGTGCTGAGCTGTTTGTTGGACACCATGTTCAGACAGGGGGCTGTTCAAGATGTTCATCTTGTGAAGTATTGTTTCAAAGCATTTGTATCCAGATCTCAGTCCACTTATCTTGGCCCATACTTCTCTATCAAGATCATGCCCAGTGGGTAGGGACCTACCAAATTCATGATTTCATGATTTTCACAGAAACCATGAATTTGGTAGGTTCCCCATGAAAAAGCCTGGTCCCCACAAAAAAGCACAGGGGCCATAAAAAAAGCAGGAAAATGGTGGAGGGGGGGGGGCAGGATAGGGAGCTGCAAACAGAGGCAGGAAGCCTTGGCATCCTAAAGTATAGGCAGGAGGGAGATGGGGGGATGGGAGGGAATTTGTGGCAGAGCATGGCAGCCCCCACCCCCCCATCTCTTTGCTGAGGGAATCTGGAAGTCCTGCTCCTCCCTGAAAATCGAGATGGCTGTCTGTCAATCTCTGCGGAGGGGTGGGACTCCTGGGGCATCTCAGCCAATCAAAGGTATGGGGGGGTGTAACACGTAGGGTCCCAGGGGTGGTCATGACACCCCTGGTGGCTTCATGACCCTGCCCTACTCCGCCCCTAGGGCACCCTCCTGTTTCTTCTGCCACGCTTTGATGGAAATATAAATGAATAGGGAGGCTGCCCATAGGCCTTTGCATGGCCTCAGTCCAACTGGACCCTACCAGTCTCTGTACCCAGGACCCTCGCTGGGATTCACTGGTCCTTAGGCCCCTTGCTGGGCCTCACTGCGTAACTATGCCACTGAAGGGCACCTCAAGCCTTAAAGGCTAATTGCATGGCTTTGAATCTTTCCCTTTACTATGCTCCATGCCTCATGGGTGTTACTGCAGTGTTGTTCCCTGTGTGGGGCTCTGGCTTTCTCAGTCTCTGCCCCTTTATTCTTGCTAGGCCTTCTGGTCTGGGCCCACTGAATCCAACCTGACTTTGAGACTCTAGCTCTTGTTTGTCCCTTCTGTCACCAGGACCCTGTCTGCAAGGCCCCAGGCCCCTTTGTTGGTGGACCTTGTCTGGCACCGGGCCCCTGGCCTCAGTCTGGCTGAGCCCTGTCTGGCCCTGGCTTCTGTGTGGCTATGCCCTCTCTCTCCGTCTGCTCTGGGATCAATAACTGCTTGAGCCTTAAGCCTGCCCCTGGCAGGGCTCAAGGCAGTCAATTGCCCCGGTGGAAACAGTAACATAAATCATAAGCCCCTGGGCTGTAACATAAATAACAACAATGAAAGCAGCTCTCTGCCCATTTAAGAGGGCAAACCTTCTTTCTCCCCTTGTGCTGGTGTAGGCTTCTTGTGAGCTCCCTGAGCCTTACCATTCCTACAGGCAGCAAAGTGATCAGACCAGTGTCCCTGGGTGCTTCTCCTGGGAAGGAGCTCCTAACTGTGCAGTGAGCAAGGCTAGATTGGCTTGCCAACTCAAGCCCCAGGTTTATTTGCACGCAGACCCCTGTGTCAGCTGATTGTCTACAGGTGCCTGCTAATTGCCCAGTAGCCTGTTGCCCTGTCTACTTGCAGCTGCGGTGCTCTGCCTGCCCTGCAGTGCTCCCTGACTAGGCTTCTTCTCCTCCTGAAGAAACAAAGAGCTCCAGGCTCTCTGTTACAGGGGGGCCTGCCATAGTCCACCATGAAAATGGTGCCTCCTCCCACACCAGGACCACAAAATTCAGAGGTAGCCTCCATGAATTAGGTAGGTCCCTGCCAATGGGGGAGTTGTTTGGAGTTGGTATAAAACACTGTGGGAATACGTCTGACTTTTCCCAGTGGTCAGCCCACTCTGTTGCTGCCCATAGATTTGGTTCAGCATCTCCAATCTCTTCCAGGAGCTTGTGGATTTCATGTATAAATAGTTTATAACCTTTAAGCCTCTGAAGCCCCCATCTGTTTGGGTTTTCAGTTAACAGTTGATGGAGCAGATGATTTTCGTCATCTCTTGCCTCTCTTGCCAGCAATGATGTTAGGGTCTATCTTGTATCACTTCGTCTAATGCCCAAGAGTACAGGGAGTACATCTGTGCATGTGTAAGTTGTGCAGCCTAGTATGAGTCTCAGCACACTGTTAAGTACAGTGTTGGCCTTTTTAGTATCAGAACTTCTGGACCATACAGGGGCATAATATTCTGCCAGGCCATACGCCATTGCAAGTGCAGTGGTTCTGAGCACTTTGAAGTTGGCACTCCATGCTGGTTAAACATCTTAAGGCAACTACCCATGCAGAGACTTTATTGCTGACCTTCTGAATGTGATGTTTATAGGTGAGGGAATAGTCTGATGTGACTCCTAGGTAGGTTGGGGTATGCTCATGGGGAAGGATGTGGTTGCCTATTCTGATATCCAGCATGCTCTTGGCTTGGCAATTGTCCAGATAGAAGTGTGATGATACTGATTTATTGATGCTCAACTTTAAGTGTTACTTGTAGAGAGAGTCAGCAATGAGTTCCATGTCAGTACTCAATGTCTTTTCCGGTTCTGTCATTTCAATTTCTTTTGCTAGTATGGCAACATTGTCAGTGTACATGTATTGTTTAGATGTTGTATGCAGGAAAACTGAAGTATGTACATTGAAAAGAATTGGTTATAACACTGACCCTTGGGGGATTCCATTCTTCAGAGTTTGTACTCTGCTTTTTTCTCCTTGGCTGGTAGTGAACTTGAATGATCTACTGGAGACCATGTTTGTGTTTAAGGTTAAAAGGCATAGCTTGCAGTCAGGTATCATAGAGTATAGTTTATATTTGAGGCCTTGGTGCCATACAGTGTCATAGGTGACTGTAAGTTCGATAAAGACCCCACCTGTTTTCTGACTCATTTCAAATCCATTCATTCCTGCCTCAGAGGGAAGTACACTTCTTACTGCATCTGCTTTGGGTTTTAAATGGAAGGTTTTCCATGCTAGAACACATCGGGGTCCAACTTGTTTAGCTTGTGAAATCAGGCAGAATAATAAGCAGAGGTTTAGCATAGACTATGATGGCTGTCCTTGAAAAATATGAGATATTCATTGTGATTGAGAGGAAACAGAGTTTCTTGCATGAAAGTGCTCAGTTACGCATGTAACACTGCAGTACAGTAGCCTGCTGACAATGAAATGTGATTACAGTCCTGTCTAGGGTTGGGATTCTATTCACCTTTTTTTGCTCATATGTCTTTTTTCGGGAGACTGACTGAAACACAGTGACCACAATGATTTATTGTTTTTATGCTGATTTCAAGTCTCAAACATGAGGAGTTTAGCAATGTGAATAGTCATTGCGGAAACATAAGCGTGGGAATTTTGAAACAGTAAAGCAAAAAAACACATAGCTGGAACTGGGTGTGACTGAGAGAAAACCACCATAGCTAAACAAGGAATAAGAGAAATATGCAGAGAAAAAGAATAACAGAAAGGTTGAGTTTAAGGTAAGTCATCAAAGAGATGTTAGTCCTTCACCATGAACAAATGAAAGAACTCTCACAGTCTTCTGTAGGTTACAGATCAGTCTGTAATGCTGTGGCTATAGAATAGAAGACCACAGGTGCTTCTACATGTGATGCTATGGCACCGCAGTGATGTGCTACGGCGATGTAGCTGTGGCATCACAGTTTTTGCCCGTGGATGCTATATCACCATAGTAATGAGCTCTCTCAGTGTAGTGCATTGCTACAGTGACAGAGTAGCTAAAAACAACCATGTGTGGTACACACGGCACAGTATGGGCTCTTACTGTGCCATCATTTAGTATTTCCGAAAGGAAGTAGTAAATGATAGCGCAGTAACAATGGTGCCATAGGGGCATGTATAGATGCACCCAGTAGGGCTGTGTGAAGTTTTGGCAGCCGTTTAATTTCGGAGATGTTTCAGGCTGTTTCAGAGGTTTTTCAGACCAACACTGTCTTGCCACACAACCTAGCTCCACAGGGAGCAAAGATCCATGCCGGGTTTTCCTCGCTGCCGTTGCCTGCCCTGCACTGCCTTGGATATCTGCTCTCTGCAGAGCCAGGTCATGCAGCAGGGATGGTCTCCTCTCCTGCACAGAGGGCAATGGCCGTCCCCCTCCCACGGATAAGCCACCCACGGCCCCATCCTGCTCTCTGCTGGGCAGTAGGGCTGTGCAAATCTTGCAGCCTGTTCAAAACAGATTCAGCTGAAATGAAACAGGACAGTGATCTGAAACACTGAAACGAATCACTGTCCTCCAAAATGGCTGAATCCGAAACCGAATCGAAACACAGCCATTTTGCACAGCCCTAGTGCCCAGTACTAGTGACACATTGGAAAGCTGCTTTGGTATGG